GGAAGGCGCGGAACCCTGGCCGGACCACTGTTGCCAAAGTGGGAGGAGGGGGGAAGGTGCCTCCTGCTCCGCCACCTCCTGCCGCTGCCTCAGTCTTAGTGCAAAAATCAGCCACCACAGCTGTTGGAGCTAAGCCACCACAAACAGCTGGCTTCTTCTCTGGCAGCTGCTGTGGCCTGGCAGCCACCAGTTCGTGGACCAGCACCAGTCTGCAGACCAGTGGTTGGGAATTGCTGTTCTTGTTGAAGTGTCTGGGTAACTCCATTTGGGGTAACAAGTTGTGTGTCTATTGTTCCCTTAGAGCAGGTATGTCCAAAGTCCGGCCCGCGGGCCAATTGCGGCCCGTGTTCCGGTTTAATACGGCCCCCCAGGTAATTTGGCAATATCTATCTTTTATGGCCCCCAACGAATCCATATGTATTGAGATGAATACATTGTAAAATCTCAGTTCATGTCAGTTGGTCTAAATCAGTTATAAATATATTTGGACACAACATGTATACTTGGTGTTATGTTCCTGTTCATATTTTTTGAACTTAAAAGTTGACAGACAACCTTTATTACCAATAATATGTAATGTTACTTTACAGTGTTCCTGACATATATTTCAGCTTCCTGGATTTTTTTTTCATCTGGCCTTCAGATATGAAAGGCAGAGTGATTTAACACCTGTTTAGATTTGTCATCCATGTGACGAAATGAAAAGTATGCCGTTTGCAATAAACTTTGCATAAAATAGTTAATTTGCATTTAATTTTAATGGTTCAAAGAATGTCAGGCAAAATGGTCGGCCCTCACGCATGTTCACTTCATCAAATCTGGCCCTCTTTGAAAAAAGTTTGGACACCCCTGCCTTAGAGGAATAACTAACCGCATATTGGCACTAGCTAGGAGAGGGCTGAGCAATACAGGACATACGGAAGGGATGGGTTAATTGAGTCACCCTGTAGCATAACCAAGGTGGGTAAAGCAGATGGTCGGCATAAGCAAATTAGACAATTGCTTGGGGCTCCGTTTTAGCTTTCTATTATAAGAACTTGCTTGGTTTTAGCATGGCAGGGATGTGTATCAAAATATTCTTTCTTAGGACCCCAGTGTGTTGGCACCTGCTCTGAAAGCTGGTAAGAGCCAATGTGTGGCAGGTTGGACACACACACACACACACACACACACACACACACACACACACACACACACACCACTGAGAGTGATTTACATGCGAGAGTATGTTTGTGAGAAGTCCAGCTGGGAGATGACAGCAGCAAGGCACCCCGGGGAAAAGACTAGGGGTGATAGAGCTACTTCTTAGTCTGGATTGTACCTGACATGTCCCAGTCATATCAAAGACAATGCTTGTAGCCAATCATAACCATATAAGTATGTATTACATCAGAAAAGGCAGAGAGTTATTTACCAGGTTAAAGCTAGTTCACGTATTGGCACAAATGAGTTGCAAAGGTAACCTAAGTGTTTGTAATCAGGAAGCTCTATACATCCCTTCGAGCTAGCCCAAGCTGAGCAGCTGCTGGGAAGGCAACAGCTTCAGAGACCCCCCCTGGATAAAGTGTGCGTGTGTGTGGGGGGACCCAGCTTCATTACCCTGGAAGGGGCAGGGCCTCTACCCTGGAGGGACAGGGATGGGAGCAGAGCCAGCCTCAGTGCCACATGAAGTGCACAGCATTGGGCCCCTCCCAGCTCTCAGATCCTCTGTGCTCTTCCACCTCCCTCCTCATCAGTGGGCCTGGCAGCTGCAATCTCTTGACTATGCCCAGAAAACCTTGAAACCTTGTCCTCCACAGTCAGAGCAGCATAAAGATTCCAAGTTTGTATGTTTATGTGTGCGTGTTTTATTCCTCTCCTGCCATATGTTCAGGCTGAGAACTCAGCTAATGGGAGCAACCCACTTGCCCAATTTATCTTCACATGGAGAAAAGCAGAACAAAAAAAAAATTTTGTCCTCTTGTAGCAAAACATAGGAAAATCCAGTTGCAATGCTCCACAGAAGCCTGTCTGGTACTGATGGAACTTTCCTTTTGAGAAGAGCATAACATTTACCCTGGAAGGTCAGCCCTTCATTAATTAGTGTGTCTCTCCTGTCTTGTGATTTACGCTTGTAACCCCCCTTTTTCCTCCCTGGGTTACTCGGGAGCAGGTCGCACTCACATGTGTACCTGGACGCCTGATGTTTTAACATAAAAGGAGATCCTGAGTATCCCAGTGGTTATGTTGTGTAGTTGGGGATTCCTTATTCACTCCCTGCTGCAGTCCCTTGCTTCTGAAGGATATACAATGGTGGTGCCTCCACCTGGCTGGCCCTGTACACACTTATGGTGTGCCTTGGGAGCCTCCAGGAATAAAGTTATTCCAGGAATAACCTGGATCTAACTCCAAGACAACAATTATAAACAATACATCTCTCATTGATTAAATTAGAATCAACACGCCTTTACTTAACTTAAAGAAACAGGATTTAACAGATTTAAAGGGAACAAAATCAGTTAAAAAGTACACAGAAAGAAAGGAAACGTATCCATCTGGCATTTGCACTGCTACCATTTATCGCACCCCAGAGCGTGCACTCCCCTGGATTCAGAGTCCCAGGCATTTGCTTGTGTGGGCACACTTGAAGGCCTGGAGCTGGAGTCAAGAACGCGCCAGGCAGGTTCTGTGTGTTAGTCCAAGCTGAGCAGCCAGCTGCAAAAATCCCTCTGCCACTGGAGCAGGCCTCACCTAATGCCAGCAGCTCTGGTTCCCTGGGCAGATCACTCTGGCTGTCATTGCACCCAGAGTCAGTTTGTCTTTTGTGTTCCGTCCCAGGCAGCACTTTTCCAAAGAGCCCAATTACCCACAGTTCCCTCCTGTGTAGGTTTATGTAAGCTCTTCCCAGCCACAGGAACAGGATCTTTCCATTCCAGGGATAATCAACAGCAGCCTCCAAAGCAGCCTGCTAGATCCAAGCCCCAGTAGTAACAGTAACAGCTGCAACACAACAGCTCCTGGCCTGAAAAAGGCTCCATACCAGCAGCCTGGCTCCTCTCTCCAAAAATGGAGTCTAGCCTAACTCTCTGTCTGCATGGCCTGAAAGACATACTGTTTCCCCCCCCCCTTTCCCAAGGACTCATGGGAGTTGTAGTCTCTAGGGCTAGATTGCAGCACAAAGGATCCTCCTAATAAAAGTCAGAGGCCCCTTTAATAAGGGGACTACATGCACTCATGGAAGTTCACAATATAACCACTCAAATACTACCTTACAGTATGGCTGCAGATGTTATAGGTGAGATTACTGAGTGCTCGTGAGTAGCTGCATGCCTTAAAGTCTAAACATGGCCTTATGATTCCAATACTAACACGCAGGTGAGCCAGACTGATTCCAGCTATGTACTTATCAAGTGATCACCTGAGAAATGGGAACCTTGGCACAAGCTGCCACCTGGTCTGCCAGCATCACAGACAGGACTGCTGGGCCCCTGAGCAAGGGGTGGGGCACAGGCTCCAGGCCCCGGAAGAGGCACGGTTGGGGGCTGGTGTCCCGTAGCCAGCCCTTAAGCACAACCAAGCCTATGCTGCTTGTGCCTCTAGCAATGAATTAAAGGGCCCAGGGATCCAGCCGTGGCTGCAATAGAGACAGCAGTGGCCAGGAGCCTCCAGCCTGTTTAAATCGCCAGCCCCTAGAGCAGCTGCCCTCTTTGCTGTCCTCCCTTTCTCCTCCCCCATGGCAACCCTGGTCACATATGGCCTGTGAGAAATGGTTTCCTGTAGTCCTGTGTCAGCGCCACTATTTCATATCCCTATTGACAGTCCCAGCAGACAGGCCAAACACTGAATGGAGGTGAAGACTGAGGGTTTGTTTACACGTGAAATTATACTAGAATTGGTGTTCTGGAATAACTAGTCCTTAATAATTCCCTATGTCTATAAATTAGTTAAATCCACTTTGAAGTGGATGAGCTAAAACCAGAAGAATAAGAAAACAGAAAAAAGGCACTTTTATTCTAGAATAAAAATGTAGCCCTAGAGTTATTCTGGAAGTTATTTCATTTGAAAACTTGCCTACAGGGGACACTCAGCAAAACTAATACAAAGTAACTTTCAAAGTGGATTAGTTAGATCATATTAAATGCCTGTGTGGACACACTCCTTCATAATTCCTGGGTGGAGATTCATATTTACTTTGTGAATTAAATGAATCTGAATTAAAGCCACTTGAATTCTGAGTGACAGTGTCCAAATAGGGCTATAATACTATTTATCTAATTCACAGATTTAGTTAATTCAGATTAATTTTCCTGAATGTCCCTGTGTAGACAAACCCTAAAATTCACACATTATTTTCATCTGGAATAAGTATAATGTAAAGGTTAACCCTGGACTGCTTTCTCCACCTCCAAGTGGCCTCTCCAGACAGGACCTTGTCAACGTAGTGGGGTATCGTGCTCCCTGGGGTGTGATTTTTAAAGTGTACTAATGTGTTGTGCATTAGTTGATTCATTGTAGACCTTGAAGGTGTGCACTACAAGTTTCCAAGTGCACTTTCATATAGTACTGTTTTAAACAGCGCTTTCACAAAAGGCACTCAGAGCATCTACTCTATGACTAAAGCAAAGACTTCACTTGCTCATCAGTGCTAAATTTTTATAAGCTGTTTGCACAGAATAGCCCTTGACTGCTGCCCCATTTCCATCTGCTTGGAAGTTTTAACATTCAAGGAACTCTGCCACATTTTGCTGCTGCACTGTGTGTGTGGCAGGGAACAGCAGTTAAAGGGTTGACATTTTTCCCTTTTTTTTTTTTAAACAGTGCATGTGTCAAAACACCATTAAACATAATGAATGCTAAAATATGAACAGAAATCAGTTACTACAGTGGGAGCTTTTGGGTACTCAGCAAAATCAGAACACTAATTTATGTGCCTAAATACGGATGTAGGACTCTAAATTATAGTTCTTATTTCTAGGACCCTGGACCTCCAAGCTTAACTTCTACTATTTTTTCCCATTTAGGATACTGCTGGACAAGAGAGATACAGGACCATTACTACGGCCTATTATCGAGGTGCCATGGGGTTCATCCTCATGTATGATATCACCAGTGAAGAGTCATTTAATGCAGTGCAGGACTGGTATGGAACACATGATTGTTATTTTTTTTTAAGCCAGTTATCTCATCATCAGTGCTTGTTGACTGTTTCATATGGGATGGGAGTAATTTCCTTACCCCCCTGCCGTTGCTTTGTATTACAATATTCTTCATTGTTCATTTGAAATTCAGAATAAATGTTTCACTTTGTAATTGAACTTAAAAAAGTCACACAACATGACTAGCTAGTTCCTTTAGTTTTTTTTAATTTACTTTATAAAAGGGCTCATTTCCAGTGACAGATTTTTAAAGCTTTTGTTCACAATAAAAAATATATACAGTAATGCATGACGCTTATGGATTATTGAGGTTCTTCCCTATAGAGCAGGGGTTCCCAACCTGGGGTATGCGTACCCCTAGGGGGTACGAGAAGCTTGTCAAGGGGTTACGGGGAATATTTGGTAAATAACTAGATTATCCTAATTGAAATATTCCAAAAGTAGTAGTGTTAGTGAAAAAAGTTGTGGATTCTAGAGTCTAGAATTTATTTCCTTTCATATTGAATAGGGGGTACGGGAAGGTTTACTAAAAGCCAAGGGGGCACGGGGACCAAAAAAGGTTGGGAACCCCTGCTATAGCGCCAATATAACCCTGTTAAATGCTGGTTTTATGGGCCAGTTGGACAAGGCCAAACATTATTATAACCTGGGTAAAATCTGAAGCATAGAGGTAAAATTTTCAAAAGCCCCCAACTCCTCTTTTCCAATGTGATTTAGGCATTTGAGAGTCTAACCACTTTTGTAACTAGAACTTGGGTTCCTCGCCTACGTGGGAGTTTTTGAAAACTTTAGCTTAGGTTTTCAAATTAAACTTTATGAACGCTATGGCAAAGGTTAAGTGGTCTTACCCATTTTCAGTTGTGGTACCTGGTTCAGTTTTGTGAGGCTCACTGCAACCTTATCATTATCATTGCTGCATGTGGTTAAAGCCACCCAAGACCCAAATACAGTATTAATGGGGGGGGGGGATAGGACAGTACCTGTCAATATATGTTTCATGGCATTTTGAAGCACCTTAGTTTAGCTAGGAAGGGAAGAGCTGTGAAAGTAACAGAGTAGAGAATAGTTTTCAATACTTCCACAAGGGACTCTGACTAATATCTTTAACCTTTAGTGGGCTTTGTGCATAAGGAACGCATGTGTTGCATGCGGTAAGCAAGGTTACAGATTGGAGAATCTTTTCATTTGTATTCCTTTGAAAATATTTGTTCACAACCAGGAAAGGCGACAACAGCATGTGGTAAACAAACTTGTATGCAGGAGAGGGCAACAGCACATAGGAAACAAAAGTATATTTCCTGTTGCTGTTGGAAATGGTTATTGCTCCGACAAATATGCTGATCATAGTGGCCCAGTGTTAGGGTTGCCAAGTGTCCAGTAGGAATGTTAATGGTAACTGGTTAACCACCACTTACGACCTGGGCCTGATGCACTGCCCATTTCCCTGCTAGTCACAACACACAGCTGAGGATGGCTGGGAGGGGCACCTGCCTGCCTGCCAGCCACAGCTGCTCCATGCTGGGGCCAGGTGTGTGGGATGCCTCCCAATCAGCTGTGGCTGCTTCAAGCTGGGCCTGGATGTGAGGGGCGCTTCCCTGCCAGCTGCAGCAGCTTTGGAGTTGGGGAAGAGGCATCTCGCCCCTCTGCAGCCCTGAGCCCCAGTGCAGGGCTTAATAGGAAACGGTGCAACATCACAGGAACTTAGCTGAGAACAAGCTTTAAAAACCCAAGGTGCTGTGATATATGTCCCCCAGCTGGCAGCCAGCCACAAATAGACAAACTCTCTGAAATATATATTAGATAGCTGTCCCTTTTTCTACCCTGCCCCCTGCAGCCCAATTGGGTTATAGCTGTCCCAGTCCCCATCTCTGGCCTCCTGTTGCTCCCTTGTGGTCATTATACAATATAACTGTATTTCCTGCCAGACCCCTCCTTTGAGAAACAGTTGAATTCCAGGCACATTCAATTGTCCTTGCACAACCAAACCCTGACTTTGCTTTAAGTTATGATAAGAGGAAGTTGTCTACCAAATTTGAGAGAGTTTGTCTGTCTGTGTGTCTGTCTGTCCATGTGTCTCTCTGTCCCCCCAGCCAGGTGACATACACCCCTCCCCCAGCTATGTCTGCTGCAGCTGCAACATGAAGAGGTGCTTCTCACCTTGCCCCAAGCTGCTGCAGGGAGAGAGGGTTGGCCTCTCTACCCAGGCCAGCTTGCATATTGAAACCTTCATGCCCAACCCCACCCCAGAACAATGATTTGACTGAAGAAAAACAAAACTTATTTGAGTTAGGAACCCAAGCAATGCCGAGTAAATCTTCTGGTAGGTCATATAGTAGAAAAAGTGTGTCAGTTTGCAAAATGGCAGTCCAGTGATTTAAGGAATCTAGAATGATTTGCAGAGCTTTTAGTGATTCTGTTAGTCTGATAGAGACATGTATGCAACTTTTCCAGTTTCCTTAAATGATCACCGTTAAAGCACATCAACTTCAAAACTTGTTCTGAAATTAGCTCGCAGCAGAAATATGATAAGCTTTGGTATTAACTATCAGGATCAAGTACAACTTAGATTTCTGTTGAATAACGACTCTTTTTAATAATGTGTGTTGATGAGAACTGAGTCGTCATAAATTTGCAGAAAGCGTATGTGCTACTAGAAGGTGTACATCACTTTCCCATCTATACAACTTTCTAACACTAAAGGAGCATTTCCATCAAGGCATGTTAAACACAGCTTTGATTAGAAACTACTGCTGGTTTATGCCTAAATAATGAATAAATCCATGCTTAATTAGCTGTTAAATTTACAAGCAGAGGCGTGCATCATATCACTGGAACTATGAGCTAATGAAGAGTCCCTCTCATTAATAGTTTAAGTTGTGCATTCTCAAGTGAACACTCACAACTACAAATGTTTAATGGACATCTTGGGCAACTAATCCCAACTACTGTTCTTTAGAGAATTCTATTTGGTGTGAGATACAGATACTCTCTATCTCTGAAAGTCAGTCCTCTTTTATTTAGATACCCAATTTTGAAAATTTTGGCAACATGTTAAAAAAAATTGTAGCCTACTTTATATTATTAAGGATTCAGTACTTTTAAAAATGAAATTTATTTTGAACTAGCAGGCTTACCCAGCATTGCTCGGATCCTTAACTCAGTTTAGATGTTTTTTAAAAATAAAAGGAACATGTGCATGCTTTATTTAAGTGGCTTTATTTTTCAAAAATATTTTTATGAAGCGAATTTTTATATTGGATTTCTTTGAAAAGGGCTTGTTAAAATTTTTCTGTCATTGATTTAACTGTGCCAAAACAAAGCACTACTCCAAATTTCTCTGCTTTATCTGTTTTCTATTAGGTTTATCAAAAAGCAAACCTATTCCAGGCTCATCCTATTTTTCTAGATCATCTTGGTTCAGACTCTTTCAATATTTACTCAGCTATGTCAGTTTTGAGGACTGCATTTGATCTGGTGATTCTGTCTCTTTTCTGTTGGGTTTTATGAGAAGCAATCCCATTCTAGGCACGTGCCGTTTTCCTGGCACAACCAAACCCTTATGTTGCTTTCAGTTATGATAAGAGGAATATGGTGGCCCTAGCTCTTACTGTTTAGGAGGAGTTCTTGTCAAACAGACAAACTCTCTAAAATTTGTAGTTGATCATGTAAGCTGCTTTATTTTATTTTTTATTTTTTTGCCAGCTATGACAATTAAAGCAGAATAATAATTTTCATTCTGATTTGCTACCATCCTTTACAAGGTGCAATCCTGCTCTTCCTGTAGTCAGTGATAAAGTACCCTGTCAGTTTCACCGGCAGGGCTTTCTGCTATTAGAATGTTGCTACCGTGCTTTGCTTACAAATGTAGGGAGAGTGTTTACTTGTTTACAAAAAAATCTGGTGGAATTTTTTTAATTCATGAAAATATTTTGTGAAATGTCAATAGAAGTTTTATGTTTGCCAAATCTAAATTTGAGTCAGATTTATCCTGACTGCTTGTTCACTTTTGAAAATATTTTTTGTTATATTTTTCCTTGCCATGTCTCCTGAAACCTGATGTAATAAAGATAATGGGCGTAATTCTGCTGACTAATTTGAGGCATGTATAAGCTTCGAAGATTAGTGTCTTGGTGTTCTAACTCTTCTGGATGGAATTAGCGGTCAGATGAAAATATCAGTTATTGTTGAGCTATGTGGCCTATAAGTGAAAACAAATAAAATGGCTGCAAAGACTCAATTTTACTTTACTACACAGAATTTCAGCTTTTGGGGCTATATTCTTCCTTGAAGGTTGCAGAGATGCAACTTAGAGCAAACTTGAACACTGAGTACCTTACTGAAAAGCAAGTGGGGTTAATGTGTCCAAGAGACCTAGCAAGGCTAGATGGTGTTCAATGGATCAATCCCTTTCTTTGAGAGATTTCAGAGTCCAGTGATAAAGCTTCTGCAGAAATGCAAATCACATACACTTAGGCAGGGAATTAGAAACCTCATCCTTCAACTGCAAAACCACAGATTTCTAACACTTGAACTAAGGGCGAGTTCTCCAAACTTTAATTTTCTATATAGGCCAGATACTAGAGAGGGACACTGTACTTGCTGATAAATACAAAGCCCCTACCTTACAATCCTGCATTGATGCCTTTTATCTCCTTTTCTGTTCAGCTTTTGTGAGGGAGGTCCCAAGGAAGGCAGGGCAGTGTCATAGGTGGCAGTGCCATCAGCATCCTTGTCACACTTTGCCCCGCTTCTTCTTTCCGCTAGGTCTGGATAGTTCAGTTTTCTCAAACTCACACGGGAGATAATGGAAATGATACTGGTTCACAGAGGGATGAGTCAAGACTCTAAAGAGTTTGCCTTTGAGGAGTGTCCCTGTGGGTGCTCCATTTGGAGTGAATCTGTGCCCCTGTACTTGTAACCAGAGATTTGTAGTAGTAATGCCAGGCTGGGTCACCCAGGCACTGTCCCTGTCTTGCACGGCCTC